TGCGCCACCGGATACGAGACAAGGGAAGAATGGACGGAGCGAGTTTTCTTCTTGTAGAGGATCCGAAAGCTGTGGACTTCAACTCTCAGCCTGTGACAGCTCTTTGAGCTGAGCGTGGACAAGGGTTCTCGATCCGCAGGAACGATGGCGTTTGGCCAGCGATGACAGCTCTTCGAAATGTTCATGGCTTGTATCGTCGAAGCGAAATCAACTAATCTCATTTGGTCACGCCGTCCAAGGAGCAGCGTGGGTGCCACCTACGCAATTGCATGCTCGAAGCGAGGTGTGCTCCGTCCTGATTTGGGCCACAATTGGACACGCCGGAAATCGCTGCCAGGCGCTCAAGTAATGACACGCCCAAGAAGACTCGAGGGGATTTACTATGGTCTGCTGGAGGCTGGATCATGCAGGTGGATGATAATAGTGCTGCCTGTGCATTGGCCACGCGATCACCATGTGGGCCGCCCCTGCAGCCACGTGGATGTCGTGTTGCTCGACTTGTCTTGACAGGGACGTGGTGTGTACTTGTAGGAACAAGTAGGGGACGTTCAACCCGTATACGGCAGTAGGTTCGATCTGTGCCGCTAACCTAACACACAAAATTCTGGCATGGACCGCCGAATACCAGCGACAAAGTACGATAAAGCACTCTGAAGCACGGGCGCCATTGGTGGTTGCATTTTGCAGAACCTAGCCAAAGGAAACAACCTGCGTCGCTTATTATAGTGCACGGCGGTGGTGTCCCGATTGGGACCTATGACAATCTGTTGTAGCTAGAAAAGGATGTTGACCGATGAACATTGTACTGAAAGGGAAGCCCAGCACACCGTAGGTGGGACAAAGCTCTAACCTCGGCGCCCTATCCTGGATTACAAGAAACTCCCGACGTAGTTGTCTTGAAACATGCAGACACCAAACTTGGTCGCCTGCTTCAGGGCAGTCCCAGCAAAGACCAGGTAAAGATGAAGAGGAGCTGAGGGCTTCCCTGGTCGGGAAACTCTTCGGCACTCCATGCGACTAGATCATGCTTCTCCACACGCCCAAAAAAACCCCCTCCACAAACGCGGCGCATGCATACGATGGGCTCGATCAGTCGATGTTGACAGGTTTTGTCAGAGGCTGCATGGCCTGGACCCTCATGGGCGTCGTACCCAAGGAGGGAAGGAATCGTGAAGTCATCACTATTCCCACATGCACCTCCTGCACAACCGAGGGACAAACTTGGGCAGGCAATGGTGACCATCAATGGCTGCAACACCCGATTCGTGCGGTCTTCTATCCCCAGTCGTCGAGGAGTGGACGCCATTGTATTTGCACTGTGATCGCTTCGGATCTGCTCGAGGTGCTCAATCAATGCATTTCACTTCTTCCTGCTCTCATGCGATGGTCACTAGTAAATTGTGCGGTCAGGATTTTGTTCGAGGCGGCATTCACCAAGTGTCATGATTCGCATCTCAAATTCCATAATGCTCATGTCACTCAGCTTTACCGAGATGTGGGCTTTGCTTGACCGAGATGCTAACCCACCGCTAGACGGGAAAGTCGGCTCGAATCCCACAGAAACGATTGTGGGCGATAACGCATGTAATAATACTTGGTAAGCGAAGTCTTGATACGGCAAATGTCGCGGATGACCTCTTGGGAAGCAGCTCGAAAAAGAAACCCAGCCAATTGCTGGTCTTCGCCTACCACCATAGGCAATAGTTCCCAGTGGAAGTCAAAGGTGTGGCGCAACTAAGAGAGCTTTGCGTGTTCTTTTCCATCGCCAGAAGCCTCGGGATCAACATGGAATCTGATTCCTTTTCACCAATTTTCTGCTGTGATTGGAACTGTCCAGTGTCTTGGAACGAGTATATTGAAGTTTTGTGCACAGTCGGTACGATCTGCCAGTGTGATCCGAGCTTGATGGGGAGCCCAATTAGCTGGCTTGAGACCTGAAAGATGTTGCAGCCGCCATCAGCTCCAGGGATTGGCTTTAGGGGCAAGGTGTGAGCGGCATCATTTGGGGGGGGGCCGCCCTCGTGGTCAAAGCCCAATCTCCTTTGTTCCTACAAGCCACCACCAACGTCTTCGACTAGCGAGTTGACAGTGCCCGTAAGGCTGGAAATGCCGGCGCGGACATGGGCAGCGAAACAGCTGAATAAGTGACCAATGGATGTCGAACCCGCCCTAGTCACGATGCTGCCTCAAGGACTGCTAGTCGCGTTCAATCCTCACCGCCGTGGTCAAATCACACTGATTGCTGGCCACATGGCCTTTTGTTGGCGGATGTTTTGGCCCTCTCTTGTTCATTGTTTGCAACTTACGCGTTCGGTTCTCTGGTTGATATCCCACATCCCACGCCGTTGGCGCCAGCGACCCGGATGGCAGCAATGCAACGCAAGCCGCTGCGGGCGGGGACCCTCTGCACAGAAAGCAGACAACATGTTTGCGTGACGGATACACAACCATGACGCCTCGGACCTGGGGTGGCGTCTCTTTCACCTGGTGAGACCCACACCACGGTGCAGCCTCGTACGCGCCTTGACCTATCCCTCCTTTGATCAGAACAATACCCCCGGCTGCTCATTTCTGTCCTGGTCTTGGTTTGATTCACCATCAGGCTTACTTCTTTGATCGGTGGCCAATGCGCGGGCACGAACCAATCTGGGCATCATCGTAGCACGAGAGCTGTCTTGAAGCAACGAAGCTCGATCGGGTTGGCCGATTTGTCCGATTTGTGAATCTTGAGGAGCGAGCTGATTCCTTTCCACGATGCTGGCCGCGTCCAAGCGCCCCAACCTGCATGAGAAGCTATGCCGCACTGTCAATTCACGATGTTGACATGTTCCTTGCCTGACTGCACGCTTCGCAATAGCAGCAGCAGCTACTAGTCGAAGACATCTTCTCTTGCTCAGTCGGCTGCGCCTGTGTTGTTAGTATTTTCTGCTCCTCGGGTCTCGTTTTGGAGCTTCTGATCCCAGCAAGCCGTGGGTACCCTTTCCACAAGGCCTGAACCGACTGCCAACCATCGACGCTCGGAGCACTGGATCTCGATTTGGAGGGGAGGTCCCGCCTATCTGATTGAACTCACATTTGTGTTACCGAGTATGAGGAGAGGCGACTGAACAGCAGCCCAGAGCGACTTTGCTTGCGCGAGAGTGAGAGGGCCGGTCAGATCGGGCGCAAAGGATGCTGTGATCCGCAGGGATACGAGCCATCCATATTTTTTACCCTGCATTGGCCACGGGTGAGGCGTTGAGGCGGCGAGAACATAAGAGAGGTGAAAGGAAGCACCTGTGAGAGTTTTTGGAAGTGGAAGAGAATTGTAGACTTTGCGGGCAGCGCAGTCATTTTCGCAGCCGCTATTGCGACCTTCAGCTACCTTGCCACTTCAACTTGCATTGAACATTAACTGTACACGACGGCAGTGGACGACAACCTTGCCACCTATTCATACCTACATCAGAAGTCAGAAGCTGGACGACAAGCTGCTGTTGTGCCGGAATTATCACCCACCAACGCCATCCTTGCAACTGTCGATGATACACATCGAGGATTCTTGAGATTGCCTCCTCCTGCTCCTGCTCCTGCTCCTGCTCCTCCCCCCATTCCGCCTCAGTCCAACATCGCTCATCTCGCCCTCGTCGCCTCCGCCGGTTGAGCTCGCCTCATCTTCGTGCCGCGGGCAAAGACCCAGTACACCTGGAAAACCGAGCCTTGCCTTCTCCTTTCGCACTTGACAGCATCGATGCTTGTCCAACCGAAAACCCCATTGACACGCAGTCCTCTGTCGTCAGGGTGGCTATCGTTCCTTTGTCAGCTTCCTTGACTTCGAAGTCTCCTTCACCCAAAGGCCTGTGCAACAGTGAGGCTACTCAAGTTTGATGCGGCAGCTTGACTTTGCTGTTCCTTCTGGACTTCGTAAGCACTGTCAGACGGCCGAGCCTGCTCTTCAGTTGGGTAGGATACGGTATAACGCAGTCAGGAACTGTTCAGCATCAAAGCTTCACATCCTCTCGAGCATCCGTCCATTCATCTGTACAGCTTGCTGGAGTCTACCAAAAATCTGAACGAAGCCCCCCTGCCAGCTCGAGAAGCGGTTGCCTACTGAACCGTTTGTTTGCCTCTTGCACAACCCTATTACGACCGATGTGCTCCCACTCAGCCGGGCATTGCGGGCTGCTACAAAGTTGACCAAGTTCACGAATATCCCTCAGCCTCACACCCTGCGGTTATCAGTCCCGAAAATAGCACGCTAAACGGGAGGAACTGTGTGCGGTGCCCTCAACAAAATTGCATCTCAGAGTTTGGCCGGAGTGGATTTTCTGCCTCGCGAACCATTGCGCTGGATCCGCGAACACCAGGAGCAGCACCCTGATTGTCTGATGCAGAAAACTAGCAGAAACATCCCGCACACATTCTTCACGGCTTTGGTCTTGTTTTCGAACTTGTTTAAGCAAAGTTTGCCCTCGAATTAACCCAAATCCTCCTTACCGTCGTCTGTGACGAGCTAATGGAAAACCTGATCGCCATTCCCTGATCAAAACCCATCACGCCTTTCCCTCCACGAATCATTTGCTGAGAGTAGGTCCTCGTTCTAGAGGACCCAAAAGCACATTTAAATCCGGCCGTCTGCAGTCGTGGCTTCCTCTTCAGCATCTACCCGTCGCCCATATCTTCACACCTCCTTCTGCATCTTCAAAACCGTCAAATTCACCTTCTCCGCAATACCCTGCACCATCTCTTGAATATATTCTTCCACCATCCTTTCTGGACACAGTCTTAATCTGAGGCATTCTTCCTGTACCCATCTTGCAGCTTCACACCTAGGTATCCAGCTCATATGGTGGACCAAGCATCGCCTCGGCCTGGATTCCGGAAACCCCAGGTCCCAGCATCAGCCTCGACCCGAACCCTCATGCGTAAGCCACTGGTCCTTGTCGATCCATATCTGGCCGAACGCATCCAGTCTAGATCCCGCATCCCCAGGTCCGTCGTTGGCAACGCTCGATTTCAAGATGCAGACAGAACCTTCGTTAGGAGGAGCAGAACTGACAAGACTGACCGCGAACAGAGATATGTATAAGATGATGATCAAGCAGCAGCCTAGAGATGGTCAAGTCCTGACGGCTCAAAAACGTGCTAGCGGTGAGTGACACTGCTGCCCACGCAAGAGAGACATTAATCGTCAGTACAGCCAAAAAGCCACAGAACGAAAGACTCTCCCTCGATCCTCCTGCAGTGGTCGAACTTGCGGTTCTTGATGATGACCCGAGCAGGTGCTGGCTCCACAGCCCGTACTTATTCTGCACCGCCGAGCTGGTTAGACTTGACGACAAGTCAAACAGGTCTGACACGCTTTCTGGCACGTTGACGTCTTCGCTGCACGTGGTCAAGATGAATGACGGAAAAGGTGTGTTTTTCTGGCCCGCGGTGTCTTGGAACTTAACTGACCGTATCGCAGCCCACGGCTTCTTCGTTTTCAGCGATCTCGTCCCACTATGCGCCGGCATGTTCTTTCTTCGATTCACGCTGTTTGAGATGCGCAAGAGGTACGAGGGACAGACCCCGAAATTTGTTGGCGCTGCTGACTCGGCAAAAGCCCAGATGGGCTATTCGCGGAAATGCTCAACTCTGTCTCCAGCGTGACCCTTGAAGGTAAGCTTCTTCAATGCGACATTGGCATCTAGAGAGGTACTCACGTGTTAACAGTCCATGCACGCAATAAATTTGCCCCTCTAACCAAGTCCACCGATTTGACGAGAGCGTTAAGCGAGGGAGGCGTGAAGGTCAGGGTTCGAAAGGAGCCAACGTACGTCCCCCTTGAAGACTTGACATTGGCAAGAGACAGCATATCCTGGTGCAAGAGCTTCTCGACCTTGAGCGGGTGATACACCAACAGACCATTCTTTGCGCAGCTGCTTTCCCTTCACATCGTATTGCAGCTAATCTCTCTCCAGGCGTCGATTGCAGAAAAATAAAACCAGCTGGGGATTCCAAAGATACATGGCTGGGTATGGCCAGGTCGTGCCAGCCGCCGTGTATGGTCAACCTCAAATGTATGCGCATCACGGCCAATACCATGAGCATTGGAGTCAGAATGGAAACGCTGCTTATAACACGAACAACGCGATAGACATCAGAGATCGCTTAAGTGTTCAACATCACGGGATGGAGCCGCCATGGCACAGTGGCGCTCACCAACAAGCAGTCCTAGCCATGGCCCCTCCAATGCTACCACAGCAGCTACTCCCCGAAACTCTGCATCGGCTTCAACATGGTGCATTCTTGCACGACGTGCAAAAGCAATCAGTGAGCCAGCCACTCCCTCTTTTGCAGCACCCCGCGCTGTTGCACGAGACACAACACTCGCTCATGCCACCACCTCCGCCACAATCTCAGCAGCAGCCCTCTTTCCCACCTCTTGCGCAGATTCTGCCCCAACATTTCAGCTCACTTCCACCGGCGACTTATACCGTGAGAGACGACGACAAGAACCTGTTAGGGTTTTCAACCAGCGCGGCAAATCAGTTGTTTTTCCCCACCACCTCTGCCAGCTCCATGCCGCATTTCACTGCTGCGGACGAGCAGATCTCATACACTACCTCATCAGCAGCGCAGATCATGTATGCCACGGCATTGGAAGACCAGATGATACACAGGACATCTCCGGGAACCGATTCGGCATACACATCGTCGTCGAGTGGTTTGGACCAACAACAATATCTGCAAAGCGCTGGACAAGTTTCTGGGACGTATGATATCTCAGGTTTCAACACTTTGCAAGATCCGTATGATCCAAACTCTTCACACGGAGGGTTTCAGTAGACATGACAACTTCTGACAACAAGTCATGACACTTGAACCCTGGATTGGTCGTTTCGTTGAAGGTGGGCATGGTGCTTTGGATTGAAATATCGTCTGACATATGACGCAAAAGTTTGTGGGTGCTATTGTTTGAAACGTTTGTTCTTATTTGAGTATTGGTTTTTGATAGACTTGGTCAAAGGCAAGGCGGACGGGACGTAATGGGTGGCATAGGTATCCCGATAGGAAGGGATAGCAGTAAGTGGAAAGGATATCCCGATAGGAAGGGAAAGGGAAAGGAAGTGTGGTTCTAATAGTAATTCTACATGTTCTCTGTTGCTCCGTCAATTGCCAGAAGATAATGTTTGAGGGGAGCTATGCTTACGCAGCCAGCATATATATTTGGCCCAATCCACACTTTTCCTGGTCATTGATAGTTACAAGTCAGATCCAGACATCCAACAAGAACACGCAGTCATTCTCACCACAAGCCGGACCACCACGATTGTTGCAATGGATTGGAATAATTGAATCCATGAAAAGGAGACATGAAGATCTTCAAGAGCGACGTGACGCAAAGAACGTGTTATATACATATCTGAGTCGGGAGATTCGCACCGTGCAAAATTTCTTTCTGTTGAAGACTTCAGAGAACCAGAAGGTCTAAGAACTTTAGAGCCCTGAGCCACCCATGTCGCAGCCGCTAAGGACTTCTAATGCCTAACCGATGCACACGGTCAGAATTCGCCGATGGATCAGGCAAAGATTCTGCAAAGCCTGTGCGTCAATCAGAATTCGCGCCAGATCCGCAGATGTTTTTATGGTAACGAACGGGTGTCCATGCCGCAGAAATGGCGCACCGACCAACATTTCGACAAGGCCAAGGGATTTTCTGACAGTCACTTCAGCAAGGTCTTCTTTCCTACCTTAATAGTCATCAAGGACATCTTTCCGGCATCAGTAACGTCAAATTTCGAGTAAGAAACATTTAGCTGTATGGCGCAGCCTTGTCAACGACACGCCCGACAGTACCCTCTCCGCCCTTAGCTCCTGGACTCAGATGTCAAAGTCGGTAACAGAATCCGACTCTCACCCTATTAGGCAAATACATCCTCGTAGATGTCCGCTTAAACATGGTCCATATGACCCATCATCAGTACACGGCATGCAGGCTGCAAATCAGGGGCTGAGCTAGACAAGGCTTTCTTCAATTGGTGCTGTCCTCAATTTCTCCGAAAAGGAAAAATATCAGTCATGGAATCTCGGAGCCTCCCCGTCTCCTACAAGAAGGAAAGACTATCGTCACTTTTAGCACTAGATCCGGGGACGCCATCGAGTTCAGCCACTGCGTCAAAAAACAAAAAAAACAAACAAAAAAAAACTCTAGCGGAACGCCTACGAGCGACATTCAGAAACACGGCAAGACGGATCAAGGAGACGAATGCCGAGCTGAGCAAAAATCCATTTGAAAGAGCTGGAACCGAACAGCAACATCGGACAGTCATTGGCTTGTTACCTCCCTTACTTGATCCAATGTATTAAACAACATGGTTGCTCAAGATATTACTTCCTTTACCAAACCATTGGAGGCCAGGCCGCAAACAGGCTGGCCACGGACATTATATTTCCGAGGACATTTAGCGATTCCGCTCCATGAGGGCCTTAAGATCCCTCATGCCTTTTGCCGTGGCCCTATTCTCATTCGAGGGACCATCTTCGGACTCCCAACCAAATCAACTTGAAAACCTAAACTTGCATCACGGCATCAGAGTCTCCACAAATAACAGTTTAGAAAAGCACAAGCCTTGAGAAGACCCTCCACTACAACAGCCACATCGATGACTCAGAGACACCAGAGGAACCTCTGGTTGCATCGGCTTTGCCATTCGATCACATCGTGGACACCTATAGAACCCCTCACCCAATGTCTATGGCTCCTCGCATTTAACGGCTCCATTACCACATTGATATCGGTACACTGCTTCGGAGGTCAATACCGCTTCCGCACGCTTGTTTATGCACACTTCGCCACGGGAGCGATGCTGTTTCAGCAACAAGTTGACCATTTTCGTCGTCGAGGCACGTGCGTCCACTGACGACACTCTGAATTTCCTTTGTTGAGGTACAATATTCTCTCATGCTTTCTACGGAACCGTCTCCGCCACGCAAATGCGGACGGTTCTCCGAAGCAGTACGACATCCCTCTGATTCAAACCGAGGATCAATCCGAGGAGGTGCTTGCTCAGCATGTGCAGTGCTTCTGATACGGTCTCTGCGGTAAGGACACCGGAGTGTGGAAGAAGGTGCTTCCCACCAGCCAAACATAAATTGATTTATATACCTCACGAAAGCTCTGGGAAATAAAAATCTCCTTCTACGGCCTCTAAGTCGACTACAATCTCAAAGCTGCCAGACTTATTTCTGCTTCGAAGCTATTTCTCTAAAAGTGTAAGTCCGAGTTCCGGCTCTTCCTTGTATAACATCATAGCCCATTCTAGCACAGTCCCAGCGTCCCCCAGTACGACTTGCTAGAGCTGCATAATAGATTTGCCTTTGCTAACCATTCAGATCCTGGTGAACACTAGACAGATTTCAAGATCATGAAATTGCAATTGCTGCAATATGGAGGTAATTTGCCCAATACAGTCGATCAGAAGAACTCCAAAATTGAGTCCTTTGCTGTTAGAACCGAGATGGCCTTCGTTGGTAATGAGCATATCATTTAACTTGGAAATAGTGGTCCTCTGTCATTCATCCTATACCGTTAATTACATTCGATATCGCGGTCACTTTGAAATTATTGAGCGCTCTTGAGGTACATATTCCGTGGCAGACTGTGTCACCAGGTTTCTGTCTTGCCTAATCAGGCTAGTCCAATATCAGACATCTACACTTCCTCGACTCTACCACAACAACTGAATGACAACAGCACAAAAACCTCTGACGTTAGTCTCAGGATCTCTGACTTGACCAAAGAATATAGTAACTGTAAAGTCACCCGTGGCTGTTCGAATGGACACGGACTCCTGTTACACCTATGTGCCAATATCAATGTCGAGGAGGATCCACAATTTGGCTTCAATACGCTCCGGGACTTCGGTCGAAGATCCCATCCTATGTACATCCTCACCATCACGCGTCAGATGTTGCCGCCGAATGATACGCCTCCATCGTGGTTGCCTAAGAGCGAGACATATACCATCAACCTTGTCCGGCATCTAGGCATCTCTCACCCAGACGAAAATGGCGAAGAACGTTATGAAATCGTAAGTCTCGAGTGCGCTTCCCTGCAGCATCAGTTCACCTGGGTGGCGGCAGAAAACTGAGGCTTCTTTGTGTGCGCTCTGGGTGAAGGCGGAAATATCTCCCATGAAGAATACATCGAGGGTGTCGTGAAAGGCGATGACCATTCCCAGTTGGTCGTGGTAAAATTCACTGGATACAGTGGGAGGGTTGGTATGAGCACAAAGGAGATACGTCTCTTTGCAAACATGAAGAATGGTGTCAAAGGGAGAGCCAGTTCGGAGTTGAGTATCAAGCCTTCGCCTATAACGAGTCCATGGTTGGCCGAAAAGCTCGAACAAGCTCAGCAAGCTAGTTTAGAGTCAATAAGGAACAGCACCTACAGCAACATGAAGGCGATAGCTGAAAGGCGCAAAAGCTTCAGTTACGGCTATGAGCAAAATTCAATGTATCGAGAAACAATTTATATTCTCAGCCAGCTGTTCGATGCCGTTTCAGATACGGCAACTCCAAGAATCCGTCGATAGACCTCCAAAGGGGATAGAGACGGCAGACCTAGCAGAGTTTAATGCTATTCAACCTCAATGGGACATCATTGATGGCCGTTCCATCACCAAGGAACGTCGCCCAACAGCTAGAGCTCTCGGCGCCAGTGCTGAACGAGTCTCGCCAGCTGTCCTGCCACGTATTGGGGTTGTCGTCACCACATACATCAACGTGCTACAAGAACCTCTTATCATGGATTTCGACGCCGACAGTCGTGGTAAACGAGGAAATGTCTAACACTCCAATTGCACTTCCAGCTGTCGCCACTGGGGAATTCTCGAAAGTCCTTGTTCAATTTTACACGGTAGACCCCAAACAATGGAAGTCGTTAGTAAAGGCTCGTGACGCAGACGAGTTCTCAAACCATGCATCTCATTCAGTACGGGAGGTACCAGAGAAATATGGCGTTTCTATGTGCTGGCTAAATGAGCAGAATCCCTGCCATCCGTCGCTTTCTCCGTTCCCGAATGCTAAATGGGCTCCAGGTTGGTCCTGGGATGGAGAATGACAACGGCTTCCGCGCCCACTTTCGATATGGGTCGAAAAATGGTCCATTTTGAAGATCAAGTTGACCTCCAAAGACGACAACCCTGCAACCACGAACAGTATTTGACTATCAACGTTCCTTGCTGTATTGGCAAAGTCAAACCGAGGACCGGTTTCTCTGGAGAATTATGGAAGCGCACTGTCAGTGGCAACTGTCGCGTCTGGGCTTCTCTAACTGGAGTCTCACTTGGGAAGGAAAGCCCTTCCGTAATACAAGCGATGGCACCGCTATCATCAGTTTCTACAGGGAGCTGAATTGGAGGATCAAGAACTACTTGCGGAATAACATACTGAGGTTGAAGAAGTCCGTACGGTCGATCCTGCTCAAGGGATCGACAATCGTTTCGTCCGGATCGATCCTTATAGCAACAGGCTATTTCAAGTCTGTTGCCAAAGTCCTCGCCTCCGATGGTGCATCCACAAGAGGGGTTTGTCTGAGAATGAGTGCATACGTAGAATCTGCGAACCGATAGAACCCTACACTAACTCGAGCTCAAGATAGTTCCTCGTCTTCGCAAATTTCACTTCACACCAGAAAGTCATTGAGCAGAGCAAAGGTGAAGAGAGGACGACGTGTGTTATCAAAGATCTCCTCCACAAGGCCCATGATCGTAAACTTGTTGTTTCAGATTTATCAAGAACATGAGAGTCTATACTTACAGAATTGTTGACAGGGTCGCGAGAGCACCATTGGGGCAAACCACCTGAGACGTTAGACGCTTCACCAACTGCGCAAACTGCCTCAACCTCGTTGTTCCTGCAGTTCTGTGGCAGGATGGCGACGGAGTAGGAGGTTTCAGGAATGCTCTTGTGGTTACAGGCCAATGTATATATAAACAGGCAGAGTCTCTCTGAATAGCCAAGGGGAGAGGACACAATCAACCAGACAGGTCCACAACTTAACCTTTCGTCCAACAAGAATCTAGCCTCCACCAAGGCACGCGATGCTTATAAAGAGATGAAGATTGAAGTTCATTCGAAGGACCGGTTCTCAGAAAATCGCTAGATCAAAGGCGGACCGGAGCATATACAAGGCACAACCTCTTGATCTCAAGAAGAATATCACGTCCTCGACGTTCCATGGTTCAGGATATGGCAGTGTTTTCAGCATGTTTCCCCTAGGCGTCCGAAAGGGAGTCCAAGAGAGAGCCCAACAGCGTGGCGCATGTATCCGGAAGAGGGCAGACATGGGCCAAACGACCATCGCCGGATTTTGGTTTTGATGACTCAAGGCTGGGTTGACAAGCAGCGGCGCAAGAAAGGACGGGAAGGGGCTGCGAAGGACGAAAAGCAGCAAAAGGTCAATTCCAATGGGCTTTGGCATGAACGGAGTGGCCATAATACGCCCTATTATCAACTAATACTAAATAATGATAGGCCGGGCAAAGAAAGGCAGAAATTACTTAGGTTAAATTGAAAACAGTCAATGCAAAGCATCCGTTGGATACCTAGTAGTGATGGGGCAGAAAACGACTACTTTACCAGCTCTGTTATCCCCTTCACTCTAAAGTCACTAAAGTTCCGGACGGCATCGTAGATTCCACTTGCTTCCTGCTTCATTCTCTTCCTGGATGTTCGTGACAAGACTGAGAAACTTCGCACGGGCGCCGCCCCAGGTTGCCTAGGTCATTAGATTATCGGCCTCACCCGCGGAATATTTGAGATGCGTTGTCCTTGTAGTCCCATCTTCCCATTCCACTTTGAGACTGCTCTCCAACCCGGCATAGGACTTTCCCACATCGACTTGAACCTTCTCCAGAAGCCCACAGACCCCTCGTGCAATCACAGACGTTCCAACCCAGCCTCGGAACGTCAAGTCACGCCACAGCTGCTTGATAGGCTGGGCTAAACCGGACGTCGACTATATTCGTTGGGGTGTTCTGCTTCCTCAAAACAGTCTTTGACATTGTCTGGAATGCAAATATTGCCCTCCAATATCCGTCGAGCAGTTCTGACGAATGAAAGTGTTTCGAATTCGGGTACATTCTGGCTGGATGTGGAACGCACCTTGACAAGCACGGGTATACTGCCTAATGGATGCTCAATGTCCAAAGTGGTCTTCTGTAAATTCCTCTCTGTCAATAGCTGGTTCACAACCGACCGATGAACTCGACTGCATGCAGCAGTGCAAATAGCGCCAGTTCCGGCCATTGAGGTATGGCACTTATTGTCCAAAAACAGTCTTGACTGGACGTCGCATCTGCTGTCTGTAGGAGGAGAAACAAGGGCTACCATCGGAAGCATTGGTGATTGAGCGTCGACAAGTTCCCAATGTTTGCACATCCCAACCATTTGCGCAGCTTTGCCGCGGAGCTCTCTGATTCTGGCAATGAGCGCCGGATCGTTGTCAAGATCGGAGGGCTTCTCATTTCCTGCGAGACCCAGGTCTTTGGCTCGTGCAAAGACAATAATGTTGCCAACATCGCAGACGGTGATGTCAATATTAGAATCATTGATGACAATCGTGTCTAAAGGACTACTCGTGGGAAGCACGCCACTGCTAAGAGCTGCACCGATGACCTTTGACTATCAGGATATGCGGTAGATCAGAGACAACATCCCACTTACATTGCTGTAGTCCATGAGAATGGGGGATCCTGAGCCGGGACATCCTGCAACAGCAAAAGTACCAGACTCGACAAATTTGCCCGTCGCATGGTTGACTGGCACATGGGAAATCAAGACTTTCTTCGTCCCAGTATTATAAATTCGGACCTCTTGTGTTGTAACCGTCGGGTCTATAGTCACACCCGGCCTTAATTCCTTGACTAAGCCTTCGTCGACAGCGAACGGGCCAACAGCGGCAGAGATATTGCCGCAATTTCCCTTATCACTGACAGTCTCGTCGTCGATTCCGACTTGGACAAACGTGTAATCGACGTCGACATCAGGCTGGTCCGACGACTTGATTAACGCAATCTTCGAGGTCACAAGATGGCTCCCGCCCATACCATCAATCTGAAGAGGATCTGGAGAACCCATAATGCGTTTAAGGAAACGGTCACGCTTGGTGCCTCTCGGAGGAACATGTTGCTCGCGGAAAAAGAGGGCCTTGCTCGTGCCGCCACGGAAGTATATCACAGGGACTGAACGATTTTGGAGGACCATTGTGAATCTTGTGACATGGTTGAGCCGCCAAGGTCAATGAGATGAATTTCTGTAGGGAGGGAGTTGATGACTGAAATTCATATTCATCACCTTCCTGGAATTTGGTCGACAGAAAGCCGAGAATCGGACTTTGGTATTCAACATGAGGCCGTAAGCCGGAGACGGTTGACGTGAGTCAGGTGACCCGGTAGGTTTCATAAATAGATTCCTCACGGACGACGTGCTAGAGTTAAGGCCAAGAGTTCCTCTTGTTTGCTTGATATCTAGTATATTTGGCGGAGAAAATTGCAAGCATAGGTTTTGATCCGCAGCCGTGGACAAAGGAATGGTGGGAGGTTTTAGGCGTCAGTCTCGGCCTAGGGGCTCACCAGCCTCACCAGCCTAAGGGCGTTACAAGCCCCCTAGGCTCTAAGCCGTCTCAAGCCACCCATGTGTCCCGCCGGGTCCAAATTCGGGCAGCCACGAAGCGCCTCGATAGATACAATATAGCCAGATAGAGGAGACAAGTCGAAGCTGTAACCTTCTTTGGCTGCCAGGATCGTTTGTTATAGTACGGAGGCTTCGGCAATAGCTTCGCCGTACCGAGGGGCCTCAGCCTCGCTCGACTCCAAGTTTTGCAGACTGCTGACATCGGGTGGGACTCGCTAGGGTAAAACCACAGGGCGTACTTCGGCCGCGAGAGCCGGTTGAAATTTGCTTCACCATATCCGCGACATAACAATGCCACAGATAGCCAGTCGACAGCGAGTCGCAGCAAGGTGCCTATGCGGCGCGATCGCGTATGCTTTGCCCACGGATCAGAGCTTGCCGATGGATAGCAGTCTATGTCACTGCTCCGATTGCCGATATGTGACCGGAGCATTGTACCTGTCATCGCCTCAGCTATTGGAATCCCCACCCCAGGATGTTTTAGACCAAGCTGTCCACTACGATAGCTCGGACACGCGTCGCAGATGGTTCTGCGGCAAGTGCGGGTCGCACATGTTCATTCAGGAAATTGGAGGTCAGGGAAGCAGATGGTGGGTTATGGGCGGCGTACTTGAGCAGACAGGGTTTGGCTCTCGCACAAGGAACACGACCAGGACTACCCATCACATCTTTGTGACCGACACAGGAGACGGTGCTTTGGCAGCGAAATTGATCAAGCTAGGCATGCGGGAAGTTGAATGCTGGGAGAAGCGTCCGTATAACAGCAGACAAGTGACCGCGGCTGAGTTGCAGGAAATGTCTCTGCACGTCGGACAAATGTTACGACCTGAGAGTGAATCCTTAGAGGCCAAATGTCACTGTGGAGGAGTCAACGTCAGGATCACTCGCCCAAACTTCGAGTCATTAAAGTTGCAGCAGAGGTATATCCCGGAGGAGAAGAACAAGTATGTGGCCGGTCTTTGTACCTGTCGCTCATGCAGATTGGCCACAGGTGTCTCTTTCCAGCCCTGGGCATATATCCCACCGGTCCGCATCTTTCTCGCCGACACGGGAGCAACGGTCAAGTTTGGTGCGGAGGGAGACCAGGAAGGCTCAAATGGGAACGCCACCTTGAGACATATCTGGTCCAGCAAGGATACCTGCAGGAGCTTTTGTGGCAGATGTGGTGCAACCATATTCTATTGGCACAATGAGCGGCCGGAAGTCGTGGATGTCTCCGTGGGCATACTGAGAAGTGAGGATGGGGCGATGGCAAAGAACTGGCTGTCTTGGAGGAAGGAAGGCCCTAGTTGGAAAGACGACTGTGTCGACGAAGAGTTGCTGCAGGCCATCTTCCCGCCATAGTGTCCACACTGTCGGTCGAGAAGTCGAGCCCATCACACAGTAGCCACTGTGACATAGTTGACCTCGGTGAATACGGGCATCCTGGACATTGCTTCAAAAAAATATTAATCGCCTACCTAGATAAGTAAGGCGACTTGGCCGATTTTCTAATGTCTACTCTAGTTGGTCGATATAGTAAGTCTCTTGACAGGAATCGTACCACATCGTCCAAGAATTACGCCGGTCAAACATGATCATGGAATGTCAATTGTAGGGCTCAGAATCGTCGAGCTGGAGAGGGAGAACTCTCAGCTTGATGTGGGAAACCTCGGTCCTGGGAAGGCGGAATCTGAGATGCATATTGAAGAGAGAGATCAAGAAGTCTGTTGACTCAAGAAACAAACTACAAGATAAGACTGAGGAGGTCCGGCGGCCTCAGGAAGCGATTTGAGGACAGAAAATACGAAAATGCAGTCCCCAGCGCGAAAATACTCTTCTTCAAAGTCAACATGTCCATCCTACAGGGTCATGAACGTGCATTAGAGGACCCAATACATCATTCAGGGAGATATTGGCAGAATGCTGGTGGTTCGAGTCAACTTTCCGATTTCTTATGTCAGTCAAAGGACTTGGTAGAGATGTCTGTCTCCGTTCGATGCGAGCCATCTTGACCAAAGCCACCGTCATTGTCGTCCGCCTATAACGGTCAGCATGGGCCGACTGGCCCGCGACACAACGAAAACTTCATGCTAAGCTACCTGTTGCGACACGAAAAGGATACAGGGTCAAGTTCTTCCATGGCGTCTCGGTCTGAGGTGGACTCAGGTGTCAATATGGCTAGCTCGGTGGCCCTAGGGAGAATAACTCGACAGAACATTCATGACAGAGACGCCGCAATCAGCTCCGAACCGAGTCAACAGACATGGACTGCTTGCGACGGCTCAGCTCAGTCAAAACCCTTCAGCGCCGATCTCCAACAGCCCGCAAGGGGCACCCGTCATTTCCAGATACCAGAGAGATGCTAAGACTCCAGAGGATGACCCACTGGACAATATCTACACCGCAGTAATGTGTCAAGACCGCTCAAGGACTCCAGACCCTGAAATGCGCAACTTGGACCTCAAAAACATTGGTCTACCTGCCGAGGAAGTCAAAGGTCGGCCTGCCGGGCCTAACGGTGACCTGGATCCTTTGAAACTGGTCATGTAGACCAATGAAATGGAAAGGGCGTCACCAGGAAACAACAAAAACTCAGTGATGCAAAGGATAGTATCGATGTGTCACGGTACTCTGGAGGATGAATATTTCAACGACTCCCTACTCCTCCACGGCATGAGTGACCCGGATCTAGGGTATTCACCAAAACAATGGCCACGGCGACGCTGAATCTCCTAATGCCCTCGATGGCTCTTGCCATGCCTAAGCTCCGAAGTTTCCTCGAACGGTGATTGATTCTCAATATAGTACCGAAACTAGGAGTACGGGTCTCGAATGCTTACCCTGATATAAGCACCAATTAATCGCAGATGTTGGACTACCATTGATTAAGTCAAAGGAGAGTCTTAGCTCGAGTAAGGTGCGGGCTGGGTCAGTTCTACAGCTACTGACTGTACAAACACGTTCTTCACCACTGTCCCAAAATAAGCTAATATTAACAGGGGATGAGGCTTGAGAAACGGGCCAGAGGAGAGTTGGAATTGGCAGATGGGGATTTTGGAACTGAGCTCGGGAGAGGGTATGAGTGAACTTTAGATGGCAGTCGACAAACAGATTCAATGGAATAGGCTTGATTTCACGTCAACTTTCCTAGCTCGTGACAATTCGCTTCGCCCACAGCAAATTATAGCCGTGTTGATTGTAACGAGCAATATTCATCTCGAGGAAGATCCACGGCTCCCGATCGACGAGGGGAAGGAGTTAACATGGCAAGGCTCTGCCCCCCCCCCCCCCTTTTTTTTTTTGTCTTGGTCGGCTCAATTTCTCCAAAATTTGCCTTGCTGGGCCACACAACGATGAATTCTATTACCTTGTTCACACGGCATATATTATTCCAGTCTCCTCCGTCAACAGCTGTGAAGGAGACACATGTGTGGCCAGCAGGCACTCAGTAGATAAGAGTTACGATCTTTAGAATGTGGACAACTAACCCCGTGCACGCAAACGTGACAGGGGCGTTATCATTGTCAAGATCTGAAAGAACTTGTTATGAGCATGTTCTTGGTGCCGAATGGTATTTGTGACCGTGTCTTGAGGAACACTGATGCCCCATAGGGTATGCGCTGATCACATCAAAGTCTTCATCCCTAGATGCGGTGCGCCACGTCCAAGCTCAGACCTTCTCCGCGTGCTGGGGGAGTGTTGTGACCCCCACCTTCTCGACCTGCTGCACGTGTTGCACCTTCTCCTCCACAACGTCCAGGTCGACGTGCGCAACCTCTGCGTCTTCGCCGTCGAAGATCTTGGCAACCTCTTCAAGCGTGACGCCGCGCGTTTCGACGAAGAAGAAAGCCACGAAGATAACTTCGAAAAGGAGCCAGCCCTGCGGAGACAAGTCATGTCAGCCGAACGGGCCGCACCACTTGCATGACGGATCAAAGAAGAGGAAACTTACGCAGTAGATCGAGTAGAATCTCCAGCGAGGTTCTAGATGTGCCAGGCCGATTGGGTTGATATACCTAACTGCAGTCAGATACCGGAATGCATTTCCGGTTGTCGAAAAGACTCACTGATTGAACACGAGAGCAGCTTGGACGAAAAAATTCATGAGCATAAGACCCTAGAGAAGGGCTTGTTAATGTCGCAACGAACGGGTCATTGTGCGGTTCTCACCTTCGCACGCAATTTGTACGGCATTATCTCCACTGTATACCCAACGAGCAGACCGGACCAGGCTATGTTGTAGAAGACACCATGAAGGAAGATGAAGAAGATGACTGTCTTTCCTGCTGCAAGGTTGCCGTCGAGGTCGTACAGAGCGGAGCAGGCCGTCCAAAGGACGAAGGAGACGAACATGCCTGTCACCAAGATTAGCAGAAGACGGCAAGGGGGTGTCGCAACTACTAACCAAAGGTTGCAGTCAAGAATAGTGGTCGTCTGCCGAATCGATCGACAACTGCCGCGGCAATCAATCCGACAATGAGCTACAAGCAAGTTAGCTGTCCGTTATCCCTGCCAGATAAAGGCACTGACCGAAAGAATAGTCTTGGAGCCATTGATCTCGAACTGTTCGTTCTTGTCTGTCACTCCAATACTCTTCATCACGAGGGCAAAGTAGTAGCTGGTCAAGCCATTGCCACTCCATTGGGAGAAGAGACCAAGAGCAATGACGAGTAACATTCGATATCGGTTACCCTTCGTCCTGAGGAAATCCAAGAAGCTGCTAGACTTCTTCGACTCAAATTCGAGGCGGAGGGTTTCCCTGATTTCGCGGTACTCAAACTGAACGGTGAGATCCATTTCGTTCCCATTCGCATGATACTTTGCGAGTGTTGTCAGAGCCTCAGCATGGCGATCTTTGGATATCAACCATCGGGGTGACTCTGGGATGATCCAGATGAAGCAGAAGAGTATGAATGTCGGGAAAGCCTGGAGTATTGAAGGGATACGCCACGACCAGTTGTTCTTCATGGTGAATGTACCAAAGGTAATCCACGTTGCTGCAATGGATCCGATATCCCAAAGCTGGTTGTAGACGGTCGTCACCCTTCCGCGATGTTGCGGATGGCACAGCTCGGTTAAGAGGAGAGGGGCCGAATTGGAACACATGCTGTTGCCAAATCCGACAAAGAAACGGCCAGCAATGAACATGGAGAAATTTTGAGAGGCGCTTTGGATAGCGACACCAGCAAAGAGGAAACCACACCCTGCCATAATGGCGATGCGCCGGCCCCAAATATCGCACAAGTATGGTCTAATGGAGAGGTCAGCGGGACTGTTTGTCTCACAGAAGGCCCACCTACGCAAATGGTAGCCCTGCGAGACTGCCAATGCTGTAAATCGACCCGAAGAGACCGAGGATCGACCCTGTGGGATGGTGGAAGTAGTCTTGCCACACGTCGAGGATTTGGAGACCGTTCAGCATGGACCTAATAGTTGTTAGCACTTACAAAGCAAACTTGGATACGCGCAATACCCGTCATATCCTGTCGTCGCCGAAGCGAAGAACAGCGCGATTGCCATGCCATAGAGCTTCCTCAAACCGGGGTCCTTGTACCAAATGACACGTCGAAGCGCGGGTGCCTCAGCAACAGCGACCTCTCGTTCGGATTTGTGCATATGCTGCATGGCTGCTATACCGACCATTGTGCCAGGTGTGTCTTGGTACCTGCAAATTGATCCAGCAATGTAATAGAAGTCAACCTGACTGTAACAAATCTCTCGAGGTTATCCCCGTCGAGGATATATGGTCCTTGTTCATCTTGTCAAGCAAACTGCCGAAAGTCTTGGTATAGACGGTAGTAAGGTGCACCATGTCGCTCGGCTATGCCATTCGCGATCGCTTTGTCGAATCAAAAGATGACCTGTCTCGTGTGCCGCGGGAAATGTCGAAGGAGACACAGGTACCTCAATTCAGCCTTCTTTAGGCTAATAGGAGAATGCCCTGTCCCAGGTTCTACTATCTCCAAACTGTCGATCCCTGTGTGGAGTCTCTGTGGGATAGTTAATTACCCCAATCTGGACCCCAGAGTCTGCACTCGACCACGTTTCATTTGTTCGTCAATGAAGCTTGGAAAAAGCTTCGGGAAATCGGCAGGAATTGCCAAGCCACCAGCACAACGCAGATGATTGTTTATTTGTCGGGCAGCTGATGGCGGAAGATATCAATCCACCTTGTTCAGTCTTGCGTGACCTGCTCGAGCGAAGCGTGCTCTCCGGAAACGAATGCTGGCGAGCTGCTGGAAGATTTGGAACCCGATGTAGCCCCGGCCAGTAGACCATAGCATAAAACAATGGCTATTATCCATCACCCAAGTGCAACACGGACTTACCAAATGAAGCATCAAACACATCATTCTGTTTGTGATTTCTGTTCCGGTAAATCTTTCAAACTCGAGAATGTGCCCTGACGGACGTTGGTCCCAATGATCTCAGCCTGGCTCCCACTAGAGGACCTCAATAAATACCTTGGGATGCTCGGCTTGTCTTACCGGTTACGAGCATCTTCATTCAACTCAGCCCCGCCCGAGGATGATTTGGCGAGGACGGGAACGTGGGGCCATCAGAGTCCACGAGTGAAAGAAACAAACCTAAGAGAAGGGAGTGGCATCCGCTGTATCTTCTCGGGTGACTGTCCGCTCGGAGTTCTGATCTTAGCAGCGTAGAGGTATCATCTGAGACTTGGTATTGGGACTGAGGATGGATTCCGGCTAAATTCAGGTCGGAATCATTGGTAATAGGGAAAAGACATGCCAAGGCCGCTGGTCTGTATCGAGGTGTGTATCAATGCGGCGGGCGTCTTTCCCTACGCTGTCAGATGCTTCAGATACACGGAGCAAATGTGCCATCACATTCCTTCAGCTCCAAATTGAAAAGAAGTATTAAGAATCCGTCGAGCTCAAGATCTCTCAATCTCGAGATACGGGACATACTCTTTTCAACCTCGCTGATCCTCTTTCCTTACCAAGCATGGAAGGCAGAACGTTCAAGCATTTGACCCTTGAACAGGTCGACTGCTTTATGAAACATGGCTACCTGCGTGTTCCAGGTTGCTTCACCCGCGAGGCTGCTGAAGAGTGGACCAAGGACGTCTGGGTAAGGCTGGGCTTCGACCCCAATAACCCTGACACCTGGACTACCGAACGGACCAACATGCCCGGACATGGAGAGGTGAAGGTCAAGGACTTCGCGCCCAAAGCATACAACGCCATCTGCGAGCTGATAGGAGGGGAGGAACGTATCACTGAGGATTCCAAGTCTTGGAGGGACAGTTTTATCGTCAATCTGGGAACAAAAGAGCACGAAGGCAAGGAGGCCCACCCCAAGGAGTTGACCGGGTGGCATGTCGATGGAGATTTCTTTGTTCACTTCCTGGATTCTCCAGAGCAGGGCCTGTTGGTTATCCCTCTCTTCACAGATGTTTTGCCCAATGGCGGCGGGACCTGGATTTGCTCGGAGGGTGTCAGAAAGATCGGGAAGTGGCTGTACGACCATCCCCAGGGTGTCCTTCCACGAATGTCCCCGGTTGGAGGAACCGAGAATTTCGAGAGTGG